CGCCCCTCCCGCGCCAGGGCTGGCCGGGCGGCCGCAGTGAGCTGGGCGCCGTGTCCCGCCGGTGCTCCCCTGCCCGCTCTCGCACTGCGCGCTGGGGACCGCAGAGAGCAAGGGCAGGGTCTGCCCCTGGGAATATGTCACCAGGAAGGGACATCCTCCACTCTCCCCTTGCGTGCATGTGGGCAGGTTGCTTTATCTTTTCTTTTCACATCGATGCAACAGTAGTTCACGTTAAGGAATTGCGTGTGCTTGTGAATGTGCGTGAGAGAGAGAAAAGAAAAACAAAACAAAAGAAAAAAAACACCAAAAGGACTAAGTCAGCTAGTTAGAGCCTAAAGTTGTGAAAAGTCTTACCATCCTCAGGTACAGTATAATGCGCATATTCAGGAAAGTAATCTTCAATTTTTGATTTCCCTGCCAAGACTTTTTCAGCTAGCATGTCCTGTTTATTCAAGAACAAAATGATAGAAATGGTCCGTAACCACCTGTTAAAAATAAACCAAATGCTTGTGTTATCTCTGACATACATACTCATCAAAGAAAACATCACTTGAACAGAAAATTTACTGGCTACCCCTTCATGGAGACAGAGTGAAGTAATTTGGATCATGCTTCAACAGAATAAACCCATGATCTAAATCAGTGCTTCAATTATCTTGCACCTGTGCAGGTGGATATATTTATGGGATCTGTAAATATATTTTAAAAATCTGCATTAGACACTGCTGAAGGGAACTGTCTTCAAATACTGTTTTATAAATTATCCTTTTGATACCAAGATGGGAAAACGATGACATTTCCTAGAAGCACTGAGTAGTCCAAAAATTAGCATTACTGTCTGCTGTGCTTGGTTCTGCTGAAACAAGAGAAGACGACTGGAAAGCTAACTTTTCTCAAAGTGCTCTGCCTTCACTGTTAGTTCACCCACGCAAATATTGTCTTTTAGAGTGGCCTGTATGCTTTCTGATGAATCAAAAGAATATAATCTGCCTTCTTCCTCAGATAACATACCTAGCCATTATTGTGACTATATCCCTTTTGAATTCCTGCTTAAAATTTCCCTGTACTCTACCTTCAATCACCTCTCAGCCCAGCGACAAGTTATGTTCTGGAAACTTTTCATTATCTTATTTTGCGTCTCCTTTTCACTTCTTCTCTATTAGGAGTGTATTTGGACTGTTATTTAGTTACCATATCTATAATGTACATGCACCTTAACAGAATGGCAATTTAACGGCAGCTACAATTAGATTAGATTTGAAATACCATCCCACGAGGTGGAGAGGCTGCGCGCTCTCCGAGCCAGGTCTAACGAGAGCGGCTGCCAACGTGGGCACCGCGGGCACCGCTAACCTGTGAGCCGAGCGCAAAGCCGGCAGCTGCTGCCGCCGCTGCCTTTGAGGAAGGAGGTGAAAATGTAATTTGAAGATTGTCCTCATCTTGGCCAAACAACAAAATGATGACAGAAATGGGTTTTGAGGAAAAAAAAAAAAACAAGCTCATGAAGTGATATGTTTTACCTATTATTCCAGATACTTTTGAAAAGGTCCAGGGATTCCCGTAGTCTGTTTGTATTATTGTCTTCCCTTATTACCATGTTGTAGCTGCTACAGGCCCCAAC